CCATTTTGTTATTTCTTAAACCAGACTGCAGGATCAGTTAAGGTTTTGGCCTAGAAGTGAAAATTAGGTACTATTTTAACAAAAATAAGAGTAAGTTTATAATATTGTAAGATTAATTATGATTACTTAGAATTACAGTGTTTCTAATTCCATTTTTGATATAATTTTGCAAAGACATTCTATTTTGTGCCTATAATGGTTTTCATTTATATATTCCCATGAAGGGAACATAATTACCTCGTCTTTTTTCCAATGGCATAGTAAGGGGTATTATCTGCCACGCTTCTTCCGCCACTTCCATCTTTATGTAGCTTTGACTAGATATGAAACTAACAAAACCGAGGAAATAGTTGTATTTTTAATAGCAGATTTTTATGCATTCTCAGTTGAAAGTCTGCTCTGTTGAGAGTTTTGAAAGGGCTTCTTTTATGCTGCTTCTAACTGTGGAAATTATTTTGCTAAGAATCATAGTCATTATGTTTATGAAGTTAATCTCTTTAAAAGTCACTAAGTTTAAAAGAGTAAATCAAATTATAACAAAATTACATGTCAATAGACTAGGAGTTCTTCCAGGAGAGGAACCTTGTCATATTCATCTCTGTATCCCAAGAAGCTTGTCATTACTAGTTTGCATATCTATCTCCCTCATGAGCTATAACTTTCGTAAGCTTGGAGTCCGTTTCTTTCATTTCTGTTTTTCCAGAGCAGAATGTCTATAATGAAATACTCTTTCAATAACTGCCTATTCAATGATCAAACTAGTTGCTTTCATGCATTTTTATGTTTTATTTTTTGAAAAAAGAAGGAATTTAATTAATATCACAGGGTGTTATTCCCTATGAGTTTTTAGTTACACATGAGATTAGTATGTATTTGAGAGAGGTAAATTTAGTGAAATAAAGTTAGTCTGGGGGTGGGGCTGGTTGCCAAAGAAATTGATGTTCGTGTAATATTTTCAACTTGCTAAATGTATTAGTTATTGAAATTATCACATTGTTAGCATTTGAGTTGCAGATGTGTTAGGGTTTAAGGGAGAACTATATTCCCCAGCTCATGTGTTTACCTTTGGGGCCAGCTAGGGTGGTTACCGAAAATCAGCAGGATTCAATTACCAAAGGCACATGACATTTGTACTAGAAAGACCACCCCCCCCACTCTCCCCCATTCACCGTGCCAAAACCAAACTAGAAGCAACAATAGTTACCAATGGCTACTTTTAAAAAATGACTACACTTATAGTCAGTGTAGGCAAAAATGGTAAGAAAATTGCTGTTCCACAAAGGAAAATTGCAATATGCGACTTACTAAAAAAATGATTATTCTAGTGTTATTTTTTGTTTTTGTTTCTATTTTGTTCAAGGGCAAAAAGAATCGCATAACCTTTGCCCATTAAACATCACTCCACTGTAGCTGCAAAGAGTATTTCGGAAAACTAGAATATCAGAACTCAGTAAAAACCAGATCAGTCACTTAGCAGCTAAGCCCACCAAAGAAAATTCACTTTCGATATTCAGTTTAGATGGAGTTTTTTTGTTTCAATTTTTAAATTGAAAAGGTAGATATTAAGCATCTCACTTAAACAGTTTAATGAAAATGCTGATTTGAGAGCCACATACCGGCCTTTTTTTTTAGTTTGTCCCTTCCTTAACAATAATGCTTTATCATTGGGCATCTCTAAAGCTTGCAAAGTGCTTTCACTTACATTAGTCATTTGGTTATTTCTGTGCCCCTAAGATATGGGTATTATTTGAGCAAATTAAGGAAACTGAGCCTCAAAAAGTTTAAGAAGCTGAGCTCTAATTCAAATTGAGACATATTACTGGAAGTCTGAAGTCCCTCTCATCATTTAGTTTTTCTTTTCTTTTTTATTAATGTTTCAGAAAATACTATTTTTTTAAATTATACAAACCCATGGATTTGTGACCAGATTCTGATTGTAATCAACTCTAAAAGAAAATCTTCCTTCTTCTAATCAGAATGTTTTTAATAAAACTAGTAATAAATGCATGGTTTAACTTGAAAATGACCACCTGTCAAGATGAACTGCAAACGTTAGTGTAGACATTTTTGTTTCCACCTGCAACAACAAATTTCCTTCTAAAAAATGCATTACAACTGCCCCCAAATCAAGATAAACTAGTTCTTAAGTAGGCCATTGCTATATACTGGTTGAACATGGTGTACTCCGAAATAAGCAAGGCCATGTTGTGTAGTAAACATTAGCTTCATAAAGTCCCTAAAACAATTAATTAATGAAAACCAAACATGGATAAAACCAATTTACCCTGATTTACAGACTCCCTTCATCTGGAAACAGCTGCTTAATGCTCTTCTTAAAAACACAGCTTGCTTCTTTCAGTATTAACAAGCTATTACTGTGAGTTATGTCTTTCAGTATATAAATTCACTTAAAGCAAACGCAGAGAAGTTTATAAAATGCAGGCTTAATGTTGTTTTAACATATGCTGCAAGGATTTTTTTGAACATTGACAGATTTGATGAAAGGCATCTCTCCTTGGATCTCATAAATTTAACTTTTGCTTCTTGGTTGCCTTGTGTTACAATGTCATAACAACTCCTGCTTTTCAGAAAATATGTCAGTTGGTACAAACACAAACTGGTAGCTTGGATGAGGACTCAAAGATCATAAGTTTCCGTGACACACCTGGGCTCACTTTTTCTTGATATAACCTCATACAAGTGCAGCACTAATTCCAGAAAATCTTTGAGAGTTAGAGAGCTGTCAAGTGAGTGACGGGATCTGTACTTGTTGCAACTCATCTGGGAAATCGGAATTAGCTCTATACAGAAACATGCACACACCCATGCCCACCAACTTCATGGAATTTTCTAGCTTGGACATTCTAAGCATAGAAAAATGTCCTTTTGTTCCATTGTAATTTTGATTGAGGTACTGCATTTTTAACTTTTTAAGCAAATATTTTAAGCTAATATTCATTGATGTGCTGCCTTCACTGAAAAAATAAATAAAACAATGCAATGAAAGAAGAAATGTCAGAAGTTAACAGATGAAAGAATACCTTTTTTTAAATAAATAGGCTGACAATTGGATAATGAACATTTTAAAAAGCTGAAATAAATAATATCTCCATCATCAACTTCTCTATTTCCTCTCTCTCCACAACCTTCCTGAAATGAGGTTATTCCATTTCTTCTGCATTAATCTTTACACTTTATTTGACAGTGAAATATGTCAAGTTTAAGGCTTCTTAGAATATGGCTATTAAACTATGATATGGGATATTAATTTGAGAAGGTGCTGTGTTCATTTATGTTAGAACCAAATGTCTCCAGAAACATGGCAAGACATTAAAAAATGTTTAAAAAGTCGAAAGTCCTTTTCTCCCTGAGGATAAAAAAACCCCAGTAAAGATTGTTTGATAAATGTATAAAAAGAACAATGTTGTGTTTTTTTATCATGTATTTATATGTATTTGATTTTCATGTACTTATTGTAAGAGTAAACAAAAAAAATTTTAAAAGTTCTATTTGATATGAGTTTTCACATTCAAAATCTCAGATTGTTATTAAAAATAGGTGCTTATCTTCTGTACTTCAATTGAAGGGATCAAGAAAGTTGCCACATTATGTCAAGAGTGGGACTATTGAAGGAGTCAGAAGTTGGTAAATTAATAAAAAGTCTTTCATTAGTATTTGGAAATGGGTATAAGCTTTCATATGCATTCAAAACAGATGCTTTAGCTTCATAACTTTAATCTCTCTCATGTGCTTTCTCCAGCCAGGGGATTTTATACATGCAGTCCCCACTCTTCTCCCCCCAGATAAATTCTACTTATTTTGCAGATCTTTGGGGGAATTTTTGTCTCTCCTTTCTCACTCAGTCAGCTTTCTCTCCACTACAGGCTTTCTTAGCTCCTGATACATCTCATTCACAACATTTGTTTGTGTTTGTTATAGTTGTAGCTTGACCATTGTTTGGGTGATTATTAGATCACACCCACCTTCCACCTGAACTCCAAGCACCATGAGGTCAGGGACTGACTCTACCTTAATTGTCCATGTTATCCCCAGAGCTTAGCAGAATTCCTGGCACCTATGAGTAGGAACTCAAAAAGTATGTTTTGAGTGAGTGAAGGTATTTGTGAATGGACAAGAGATGAGAATGGAAATTCCTGACAAATGGCACATTACACGTGAAACCACAAGAATGGGAATTGTTGAATGCAGGGGAAGGGCAAGCAGATGAGAAATGAAGCTAGAAAAATTTGCAGGTCTGGTCCTTGACAGGCCTTTGTGATAATCCAAGGAATCTGAATTAATTACATATAAAATAAATTAATTATGTATTTGAATTAATTATCTTAGATACTGTGAAGTATTTTAAAAAGGGGAGAGAGTTGCTCCACTCTTCATTTTGGAAATTGTCTTAGGAGCAATACGAACTTGGAATTGGAAGAGTTTATTAGAAGCAGGGAGATGGGTTAGAAAGCCAGGCTGTCACACAGATAATAGTTATGAGGACGGAAATAAGGACAAGAGAAAAGAGTGTGGATCCATTGTGATGTCTGCAATACTTCCCTTTAGTTGCAAATGCCCTTTGCTATGTTTTTCAGGTTGATCGCCAGCCCCAGTTTATTCAAGGATACCGAGTGATGTATCGGCAGACGTCAGGCTTACAGGCAACATCTTCATGGCAGAATTTAGATGCTAAAGTCCCGAATGAGCGAAGTGCTGTCTTAGTCAATCTGAAAAAGGGGGTGACTTATGAAATTAAAGTTCGACCATACTTTAATGAGTTCCAAGGAATGGATAGTGAATCTAAAACAGTTCGTACTACTGAAGAAGGTCAGTATTCAGGTTTCTAACCTCAACCAAACTTATGCCATCATTAAACCAACTTCTGTTATGGTTCAAGTTCGTCATCTACCTTAGAAGAGTAGAAAGAGATCATCGAAAAGTGAATCCAAGAAATGTGATTTTCTCCTTTTATTCTGAGAATTCCATAGAATCTGACAACTAAAAACAGAATGACACTGCAGTCTTTTGAATTTTTCTTAACTAAATATTTGCCCCAAATCTTATGTTTTTCAGTATACTTGAATTTGATTATAATATATTCCCATATTTTTGTGTAGATTTAGCTCATTTGGTTTCATTAAAAGACAAGCAGCTGGAAACACAAGAACACAGGCTGTTCATTATGACTACTCTTTTTTTGGTATAGTAAAGTGTGACATTTTATTTTATAACCCTCTTTTCCCTGTGGGTGCTGCTAGTCTAACCCATAATTTCTAATTTGAAAGGCCACTTGCATGTTTTCAATAGCTTTCTTCTTAGTGAAGTTACCTCCCTTTCCCCGCTTCGGAACTTTTCTTACCTAGAGATACTTTAAAGTCAGTCTGTGATGGACGTGAGATTAATGTAGGTTTCAGCCAGTCCATTTACTAATATCTCCTTCACTATACCAGAGGCTTGTAATAAATGCTGCCATCAAAGTAAAAAATGAGATGCCAAACGAAATAAATCCCCCCTTTCTACCTTCGTCCTAATTTTATGTGCACAACTCCTGTAAAAAGCCTTTAATCTAAACATATTTCATACAAAATGATATAAGAGGAGGCTTAAGAAAATGTATATAGGTTGCACATGCTAACATATAGATGTTCATATTTGACCAAAGAGCTTTTAAGTTATACGTTTCCTATAATACGCAACGCAGCAAAAATGTTGTCTTCACATTGTTTTACAGGGTGAGACATTAACATGGCATGTTTTTAAAGCCATCATTAACTTACTTTTAGAATATGTAAAGACAAGAAAAAATTACTAATATGTGATTATAGTACCTTTATCCACGATTAAATTTCATACTATGTTGCAAATTTGTAGTACTAATGAGTGGGGTGGGCAATTTTAAACCAGAATACTATGTTTGAAGCCTACTTCCAAAAATTAATTTCACTGCAGTTACACTTTTCCTCTGGATTAGATATTTATCAAAATTCAGTATACATTCATCTCTGATTTCTGTAGCCTTGTGAAAGTAACGAATGGAACTCAGCTGGGCTATGTCTGAGAACGATGAGTGGCGATTTGGGTTTTTTCACATTTGTAGAAAGAAGCTGAGCACTGGAATAATTGACCTGTCAGGAGGCAGGCACGGTGTTCTCGTGAAGCCAGCAGCCAGGCAAATAAGAAACCAGTTTCAAAAGTGTTATTTTTCAATGCAGTCTACCTAATAACAATGAGGCTGGTAGACAAGTGGTTGGATTTATGTCATCGTGCCATATTTTGGAGCAATATTGTCACATAGACAAATAGTAAAGAGCAGTATTGTGTTAAAATGTATCTGTGTGTCCTGTATCTCAATGCAGATATGGCCACGCCTCAATGAAATACATCATGACAAATTTACCAAACGTGTCTTTTAGGATATTTAGGATATTTTCAAAGGACTAAACTGTGAAGAGTTATTTACTATTTACTAAACTGTGTAAAGTATTGATGGCTTTATATAAAAATCCTTTAATATCACAAAATGTTTTGATTTTTTTAACTGTCAAGGAGGATTATATGTAGTACTCTGATTTTCATTCTCCTGCCTTTGCTTTTAATTCCAAAACTCACTGAGAATAGGTGAGTTTTTTTTTTTTTTTCTTGCAAAATGAGTATTTCTTAGCTCTCAGATGCACGGAATGGGCAATGCTGCAGCCTAAAATCAGGAATTGCTCCCCATTCATCTATTCTCAGCGTGGTTGTAATTAGTTATAGGAGAAACTATAAAGGAAGAGAATTATTGTAGGAAATCAAAATCTGTCTAATTCACATTTGACCCAACATGAACTGTTTTCATTTTTATTTTCAGAGTCCCTTGCCCATCCATATAAAGTAAGTTTTAAATCTTAAGTTATGGGTCAATTTATAACAGTCAATTAGTTTTTCCCAGCATGAAGAGAAAAGGATTTTTTTCTGTGTTGGCAAAATTTATAGCAGTGCTTCTGTTTTGACTTAGTGAACACAAACTAAAGGAGTACAAAAATGGCTGTCAATAAGGCCACCATTCAGAAATAACAACTAACATTTTAGAATACATCTTCTCAGAATATTTTTTGATAGTGGTGAGATTTTTTCAGAACAACAGCCTATTAGAGTTGAAACTGGAATCAGGCATACCCAGGTTCAAATTCTGACTTGCTGTTTGACTTAGATAAGTCCCTTACAGTAGCCTTCTGTTTCCTCATCTGTAGAACTGAGATAAGACTGGTTTCTACTTCCCAAGGTTACTGTGGGAATTAAACCTGACACTTAGCTCAGTTCCAGGAATATAGAAAATACTCTTTACAATGTTAGCTGTTAAGTTTATTATTGAGTGCCTATTACCACAGCTGTTGCATTTGCTTTAAATCTATTATATTTGAAGGATGTTTCTCAAAACAATTGTCACCGTTGAACACTATATGCAGATTCAGAACTACTGTAAGCCAGAACCTCATGCATTTATATTCATATTCTGTAAGCACCATTAATGCATACTAAGACTTACAGTTTGTGTTTATTCTAATAACTTTTTCTGCAGCCCCAAGTGCCCCTCCACAGTCTGTCACTGTGATGATGGTCGGAAGCCACAACAGCACAAGTATTAGTGTTTCCTGGGATCCACCTCCTCCAGATCACCAGAATGGAATTATCCAAGAATATAAGGTAGGGCCTGGGTGAACAGGAAGGCTCACAGATTAAGGTTCCTGGAGAACTCCCAGTGTCATATGAATGAGGCATATCTCTAAAGGTTCTCAGTTTTTGTGTGACAGGGAATGAAACAATTGCACAGGGGATTAGAACCTAACTTCAAGGTCATGGATCACACAGCCTCAGTTGGGCAATCAAACCACAACAGTGGAGTGTTTTTCTGTACAGTGTGATTCGAGAACCTCATGGATTTAGAGAAATGGTTTATGGAGTAAGTAGTAAAGTACTCATCTCAGAAACTGCTTTTATGTTTGTTATTAGAATTCTGTGTAAGAGGCTTTAGGGCAGCCATTTTTAAACTATTTTCTCAAAAAAAAAAAGACGCTCTCAGGAGTTTAGAAAGGTGGGGTGATCTAGGGTGGAGATAGCAGGTGGGCAGCACAAACTCTCACTCTAAATGCTGCTTTTATCCATTTGTTTAGGTTTTGTAAAATATTTCACTTGAAAAAAAGGCAGCCATACAGCAAGAAATTTTGAATAAAATGACTTACAAAAAACAGTTGATTGTCTCATTTTTCAACTGGAGAATTTGTTGCTCTTTGGAAGCAGTACATAGCTATGTTTCATCACCATCATTTGATATTTAAGACACAGAATATGTCTGAATTTTCAAAATAAGATTCCCTTTAAATGTGACGAACTTAGACCACACGAGTGTAAAGCACTTCATTAAATTTTGTAAAAATTCAAAACTGTGATTTTTTTGCTATTAATAAATATTTGTAGAATTCTGAAATTAACATACTAGATAGATTTAATGGCAGAGAATAAGACATCCCACCTCACCTCAGAAATTCATAGTTGATATGTAAAATTAAGCTGAGTAATTTCACTCAAAACTTTGCAGATTAAATTTTATCTCTAAAAATATAATAAATTTTTAATAGAATTTTATTAAAGGTCAACTTACTAAAGCAAATGGATAAACTAAATGTATAAGCATTTATTTTATGACTATTCCCATCATGTTACAAAGAAACATGCATAAGAAATACAAGAATAATGCTTCTACAGTAGCATAATTATATAGATTCTAAGGTTTTACAAGCATTAGGACATTGTTTTAACAATAAGAGTTGTCCACTATTGTGTGTATGTGTGTATGCATTTTAAGGAGGTTAGGAATATACTTTTGTACAATCTGGAACTAAATATCCTAAACTTCCATTTAGTTAAATATATATTTTTTTACAACATAATGAATTTTTTCATAAGTTGCAAAATTTCTCACTCATTAGATATCTGTCATATTTTTGTAGCAAAATGTGTATTTAGGTGAGGGCTAAACATCAGGAACACAGATGTCAATATGTAAATAAAAGAACCACGTGATTCAGAGGAATTATTTTACTAAAAATGTTTCAGGAGCTTACCTGTTTCAGAAACAAACCATATGTGCTCCTACAAATGTGTCTACATGTAGATTATGAAATACTATGTAATATAAATATGAATATGGATACACAATGGAATTCTTCTTGTAACACATTTTACAGTAACAGATTTCCATATCCCAGAAGAAAGCATGACCTAAAATTTGATTCCTACTTCAAGTAAAAGCCAAGCTTCCCTAACATCATTGACTAAAGACTCCAACATTTTGTTCTCATGCATGCATATGTGTTTGTAGACATGTTTTGATCGATATTAAGATTTATTACTGTCAATGTGATTATTGGCTTTAATTTCATTTCAGTTGATACCTATAACTTAGGTCAATTAATCCTGTTAACTACTTCTGTCAGTTAATATTTTCTTAAATGAAATATAAATTACTTAGATGTACACCAATATACCTTAGATATTATAATTCATAATCATCATATTTTTAATAAATTATATGGAGAATAAATTTTGATAAATTAAGCAGAGAAATTATGTGTTTTAATCCATACCAAAATGCCATTTGCAAACAAGAAGCACTTTCCAGAGGTATTAAGGGAGTCATTATGCTTTCTAAATTACTCATTATGAGCATTTTGTGCTGATACTGACATATAAATGATAGCTTCCCTTATTGTTCTTCCTTTAATATGCACATACACACATAAAAATAAACTGCAGAGTCATTTACAAACACTTCTTTAAGCTTACAAAATAGATTGGTCACTACTAAAAATATTTGATCAATTATGATAGTCTAATTACCAGAAAAGATCATTTCATTTCCATTTGTTATTCACTTTCCATTTCTGTAGATCTGGTGTCTGGGAAATGAAACACGATTCCATATCAACAAAACGGTGGATGCAGCCATTCGTTCTGTAATAATTGGTGGATTATTCCCAGGTATTCAGTACCGGGTAGAGGTTGCAGCTAGTACCAGTGCAGGGGTTGGAGTAAAAAGCGAGCCACAGCCAATAATAATTGGTGAGTATCAGTCTGTTTGGTCTGTGCTTTAGAATCAGCCAGCTGACAACAAGATTATTTTTTTGAATACGCATTCTGACATTGGATATGCACTTATCAGTAATAGCATATACGCGCTGTATAAGCAAATGGGTTAACTGACAAGGGTTTCTTACAGAAATGCTTGGTACAATTGCTAATGGTCTTAAGAGTTCCACAATCTTCTTAAAATTGCAATTACTATGAATTTAAATGCTGAAAGGTTGTCTGAAAATCATTTTGAATCTATAGTTTCATTAACAATTTTGGTGCCTTTGAAATATAATAGAAAATGAGACAGTTCCTGAAGAGAATGTGTTATGTTTCAAATATATATATATATATATATATATATATA